GTCTCCCGCCCCGCCCACTCCTGCCTCCCGCCCCGCCCACTCCTGCCTCCCGCCCCGCCCACTCCGGCCTCCCGCCCCGCCCACTCCTGCCTCCCGCCCCGCCCACTCCTGCCACCTGCCCCGCCCCTCCCCCTCCCTGCCAGGGTCAGGGCCCTCAGAGGAGGTTGGAGTGTCCTTAGCTGTGATAGATGAAGGCCCTGGGGTGCCCTTCACCCCTTCTCCCCAATCTTTCCCTCCGGTCTATTTGTTTCGGTGCTTGGCCTGTTGGGGCCTCCTGTGCAGACCCCGGAAGGGACCTAACTGCCGGTTCTCTGGCCTGCCCGCCAGGGCGGGGCCCCCTTCCAAGCTCCCAGTACAGCCCCACCCAGAGTGGCTGCTGGGTGAAGGAGCGGGGGGCGGTGAGGACGCGGCCCAGACAGTCTGCTCTTGGGTAGAAAGTGCCCCCCACCCCCCACCAGTTTTGAGGACGTTTCCCAAAGAGAAGTGATTATTAAAACCCTTACCTGTGCCGTCTCTTCCCTTGCTAGAAAGAGGTTAGCACAGTATTTACGGAGCCCCAATCTGCAGTATCTGGGGGGCATCCGTGCTCCCCCCAGCTCTGCACTGGTAGCCCTGGCGACGTGCCCGCTAGGTACACACACGCGCTCCTGCCTTTACGTCCAGGTGTGCCCCTCGCGTTGTTATTTGCGACAGCATGAAAACAAAGCTTAAACTTCCCTAAATGCTCGTGACAAAGCAAACTGGCTAATAGTTTATAACGCACAGTTCAAGACTATCGGAAATCTTAAAACAATCACCTTTCTGACCACTCAGTGACACGGGGAGAAGTACAACAATTACTGCTCGGTGACCCACCCCAAGCTCAGGGCGATGCACGCCGCAGGACATAGCAGCTGCGTGATGCACACGAGCACGTTCCGTACATACATGCACAGGCAACTTCTGGCCGCAGGCATAGGGTTTGAGCTTTCATGCTACACTTCTGCATCTACTACTTTCATAATAAACGTAAATCTTACGCGGGTACCTGTATGGGAAAACACGGGTTTTGGTTTTCGCAGGTCAGCTGGCAGTCAGCCCCTCCCGCGAATGCAGCTTTGCTGGTGCTCTGAGGGGTGAACGCGATGTCGTGACCAATGTACTGCCCCCACGTCGTCAGGAGATCAGAATAGTGGTCGTCTTCCGTGACGGCCTCGTTGGAAACTCGAATAACTTGTCTTGTCACTTCCCGGACCTGCGTGAGAGACCAGCTGGTCATGTGGGAAGGTCGTCCTGCGAGAAAGAGGACACTGGCGGGGCCCGCGGGTCCTGGGGCCACGCTCGTCCGCGGATGCCTGGTGCTCAGAGGCTCGAGTCTGTGGAATTCGGGTGGGTGGCCACACCAGGCTGTGTTCATCCTGATGCCTTGGTTTCTGGTGGTTGGGGGCCTTAGTTACTGCTCTGAATCCTAGTTTCCTTGTCCGCAAGTGGATGTGAAATGTTGATGTTTCAGGACCTTTGTGGGGATTAAGTTAAGTGATTTATTACACATTTAGCCATCAGTGTGACCTAGGCTCAGAGGACGGGGCCAGGGAGGGCTGTTCCCCAGGCCTGGACACCTCTGAGGATGTGATTACTCTAAGGACCTCGAGACAGGAGGCTACCCTGGGTTTCCAGGTGGATCCGATGCAATCTCATGGTTCTTAAAATCGGAGAGCCTCTCCTGACTGGAGTCAGAGGGGGGTGGCTTTGGGGGGCCCAGGAGCCAAGAGGGCATGTCCCTGGAAGCCAGGGGGCCAGGACGCAGATCCCCAGCCTCTGGGAGGAACGAAGCCCAGCCCACACCTGGACTGGAGCCCAGTGAGACCCATGTCAGACTTCTGATCTCCCGGGCTGGAAGATGGTAACTGTGCGTAGTTTAAGCCACTGAAATTGTGGTGATCTGTTACAGCAGGAGCAGGGAGCTAATACAGCCCGCATTAAAGGTGCCTGAGCTCTCATCTGAGCAGCTGTATAATTCTGGCGGGGTTTCCCTTAACACTGAGAGTTCAGAAAGCCTCAGGTCTACAGGGAAGGTATTATTACCTCATTTAGGGACCATTGAATGGACGCTGCAAGTGACCTGCAGAAACGTATGGGTTAGAGCGCACCCAGAGGGGTCCGTGCCGACCGCAAGGAGTGCACTGTGCGGCCCTGACACTGGGGCCCTGACACCCGGCGGCTCTCAGCTGTGAGGAGCATCTGGTCCCCCGGCCCGACAGCCACCAGAAGACCTGCCCAGGGAAGTTGTCGGCTTCTGTAGGGGAGCCTGGGGATGGAGTGGCGGTCCGGTCCCCAAGCTGGTGGGCCAGATCCTGACTTCTCACACTGAGCAGGGCATCACTGTCATGTTTCTGGAGAATTCCATTGTCACATACAGGACGAGACCAAACAGACTGTTTTATTCATGGAAACAAGTGGTCAAATTGAGGGTCAAATATCCATTTTTTAACCAAACTCATCAGTGGGTTGGATATGAGTTTGCTCAGCGAGTAACTTGCTTCTGGGAGAAAAGTGGCCCCGCCATCCATGGTTCTGCACGAACGAGTGAATTATGTCACTTTAATAAAGTGTCTTTGAGTATACCTTGACACCCACTCCTGCGTAGAGGAATTTCTTCCAATTCTGAAAGGAAGGTGACAGGCAGAGAGCTAGAGGAACTTTAACGGAAATCTGCATTGTGCCCCCGGCTGGTGACTTGCATCTCTCTGCCCTGGAGCACAGGGGCCTGAGGGTGACAGGGAGCTTCGTGGGGACGCGGCGCGCTGAGCCACCTACCGGGGGCAGTGGGAAGCCGTTGTACAGGACGTGGGGGTTCCACCCCCTGGCCTCGCTGACGCCGTCTTCGTAGGCGGGGGGCAGCCACCTGGCCAGGGCTGTGTTGGAGGCACCCCACCGGGGGTGGTCCCTGCGGAAACAAACGGGAGGCGTCCGGGCATGAGGCAGCCCACGTAGGAAAACATGACAGATGAATTAGAACGGAAATATCGGTTCCGAAAACGAAAGGAAATGGAATTTTCTGTTAGAGAAAAACCTGCTCTTTGTTTTTTAACGGCTAATTTGGCTGTAAAATCGTTACGGTGTTCATGTCCCGTTGGCATTTCCCAACCAAACCCACGTGGGGCCACTCGGCATCTGGGGTGTCCGTGTGGTGCTCTCGGCAAGAGAAATGAGCGAGGTGACCGGTTTGAAGGCATACAGTGGGGGAGTGTGCGGCTCGGGAGGGCACGCGGCAAAAGCGCCTGCGTGGGAAGAGGTTGGGATCTAGACTTCAACCATTCTGCCGTGCACCTGACGTGTGGATGCTGGAGACAGCTAGGCAGCAAAGCCCGAGTCGTGACACACTGATCGGTTTTTTAAAGTTTGTGGGTGTGTTCAGAAACATACATGTTGAAAACTCAGTTGTGTTTTGACACAAACCGTTGTCATTATTAAGGACATGACGTATGTGGATCATTCTGACATGAATGTGACTGATTTCGATGCTCTAACAGTGAAGGGGACCGGGCGTTTCTGAGAGTGCTTTCTAGTCTGGGCTACGGAGTCAGCACACCTGAAGCTTGACCTTGGTGACAGACTGAACACAGCGTCCCCTCGCGGCGCCTCCTGGCTCCTGACTTAGGGAAGAGGGTTTATCGTATCCACCGCGTGGCAGCTGCCTTATCGGGGGCCCTCAGGAGCGCCTCGCTAGCAGGAGGCGGGGATGCGCACTTTAGGGGGTCTGCAGGGACAGTGGGTGGGGGCGATGCTGTTCCAGCCCGTCACTGATCTCCAGCGCGCCGCGGTGGCTCAATCTGCGGAGCGACCGGGACAGCAGTGTGTTTCATTAGCTGCGATAACTCAGAGTGGGGAGGTCGGTGCGCTAACAGAGTCAGATTTGTTACCTCGGGTTTATCTTCTTGGAATTCCAGAAAGAGTGGCTCAGAACCTGCCCTCTCACTCAAGTACCATCAATGAGATGTTATTTTAACCACTTAGACCGTGATTATTTTGACTGACTTTTCTAGTTCTGTAGCTTGTAGGCTGTCAGGACCGCCCTGTGTGGACACTCAGCAAGCGTGTGCACTTGGCCTGTAGACTCAGATGGTCCCCTCTCGGCCTGAGGACCTGACGCCGGCCTGGGAGCACACGGCATCTCAGCCTAGGGTGTGGGGACCCCTGGCTGGGGCTCCCCGATCAGAGGCAGTGAAGACCCGTGAGTGTGAGAGACGGTCCCTGGAGGGGTGCTTCTGAGCCCTCCTGGAGAAACTTGCTTTTCTGTAATTGGTACGCACTTAGCGTGTTCCCCAAACTCTGGAACCCTCACTTCTGGAGCCATCTGCACCTACATTTTGTTCCTCGATGTTTCGTCTAAAAAACCAACACCAGCAACATCTGCTCTTCCTTAGAGACCAACAGGTGTCCGTGGGGCCCTGGGCTGTCAGGGGCGCTGCTCTGTGTCAGATTAGTTTGCATTTAGTGCCAGTGTTAGTAAAGGGCCTCAGGGCAGCCCGGGCACTGACCCATCGAGCAGCTAGTTTCCAGCAGAAACGATGCAGGCGTTGGAGGGAGAGGGTGGTGTGAAGGGGCCTCACTGCACTGAGGTCCTCAAGGTTCACCTCTGCGGACAGGCCGTGCCTTCAGTCAAAACACAAAGGAGATTTTTTTTGGGGGGCGCCTGGGTGGCTTGGTCGGTTAAGCGTCCGACTTTCACTTAGGTCATGATCTCGCGGTTCGTGGGTTCGAGCCCCGCGTCGGGCTCTGTGCTGACTGCCAGCTCAGAGCCTGAAGCCTGTTTCAGAGTCAGAGACTCCCTCTCTCTCTGACCCTACCCTGCTCACGCTGTCTCTCTCTCCCTCTCCTAGAAATAAATAAAACATTAAAAAAATTACTTTAAAAGAAAAAAACCACAAAGGAGAAAAAACGTGACTGAAAATGACCCCAAAGCAAATGTCCAGAGAAAAGAGCAAGAGAGGCCAGGCGTTCACGGATGTTCCCAAGACAGAGCCGACATTTAACTTGGTTTTTGACAATTTTTGGGGGCAAATTAATATAGAGAATATATATACACCAGAATATATACTAAACCCAGAGACATCTGGGGGCTCTGCCTATAATTTAAATGCAAGTATCAAATTTAGCCTTCAGCATTTATTGTTTCCTCTACGAATCCACAGATTCTGAGGTGAGAAGTTCTCTCAGGAAGAGGCTTGGGGAAGAATTATCGCGTGAAGGAGACCGGCCCCCCGGCCCATTCTCCCAGTCTGTCTGCGCGTCCGGGTAGGACGCACAGCGGGCACGTCTGCGAATTAAGCAGATGAATCCCGGAAGAGGCCGGGTGTGTGTGGCCGTGGGGATGGAAACGTCATCTGCCACCGCCGCGCCTCTGACGGATGGTAGCGACGCCATGGGCCAGGCTTACCGGCCGTCATCACTAACTGCACGGTAACGAGCCTGAGCCGTGAGGAGTTTGGCGGTAATCTTGAGAAGCAGTCACAGCGCAGACCAAGCACATCACGCTGCCTGACTGTAGGCCCCCCGCCCCCGCTCTCAGGAAATGCACACTGGAGTGTGTTTATGGCCTCTGTGGCTAGTGCCCTGGGCTGAGAACCAGCTGGTCACATACTGCACGGCCACGCCGTGATGACGGTCACAGCGACATCCGCATCTGGGGGTCGTGGACCCCACGCGAGGACCTCGAGAAGCGCTGCCTCTCAAAATCGGCCCTGCCAGGATCATTCCCATTTCAGGGATGCAGAGATAGAGCCCAGAAGGCCTGAGAGTCATCAAGGTGGCCTCTGTCACACGCATCAGCCAGAACTGGATGGCACGTGTGTGCTTTTCTGACGCCCGAAACCTCACATCTGGAGAGTCACATTTACTTTAGTGGATGCAAGCAGCCCGCATGCCCACCCTCACACCCGGGGACCCAGGCGGTGCCGGAGCCTGAGGACCCGCTGAGAGCAGAGAAGGGACCTGAGAGCAGGTGTGCACTCGATTCCACGTGAGCAACACGCCTCAGCGCTGATCAGGTCGCACAAACAGAACACAGACCGTAGAAATCCTTCCTCTCACTGCCGTTAGCTGATTTCTTGTGATACAGCCCAGCGGGTGGGGTGCAGTAAAGGGAAAATGAAAGCTAGAGGCCACATCCCACACACGTGAGGCCCACGCTGCAAGAAACCAGTACAGGTGGAGGGTTTTTACACCCACCGCGTGGTTTAGAATTTGTATGGTTAAATCCCAAGTCCCCTTTGGCCACCACCCCACCGTCCGTAGGGCCAGAACACTGCTGTTCACCGCCCGGCAGCAGCTACCAGATAAGAAGGAACTTGGTTAAGGAAGAAGAAGGGGGTGGTGCCTGGGGGCTCAGTCGGTCAGCGTCCAACTTCAGCTCAGGTCATGGTCTCACGGTTCATGGGTTCAAGCCCCACGTCGGGCTCTGTGCTGACAGCTCAGAGCCTGGAGCCTGTTTCAGAGTCTGTGTCCCCCTCTCTCTCTGACCCTCCCCTGCTCACACTCTCTCTCTCTCTCTTTCTCACAAATAAATAAAAATATTTTAAAAATTAAAAAAAAAAAAAGAAGATGGGAAACAAAAACAGCCCACTGTGGTCCAAGTTCGAGTGTAGAGGAAAAGACCATAACAGGGGAGCAAACCCCAAAGATTCAGAAAGAATTTGGTGCAATTTAGGGAAGACAGGAAGCAGGACATGGTGCTAATGGCCAATATATCCAAGATGCAACTCTCTGCCACCTCGCAGAGAAGCTTGGCCACCGGCCAATCTCAAACAGTTGTGGCTTCCTGCTGATGGCAAACGCAGCCTTCAAAACTGAGATCAAAGGTGCACAATGTAACCGGGTACGGTGTGGAAACAGCCTAATGACCAGAACTACCCAGAAGGAAAATACACTTCCTCAGTTAAGAAAATATGGATCAGGGGCGCCTGGGTGGCTCAGTGGGTTAAGCATCTGACTTCTGCTCAGGTCATGATCTCCCTCCTGGTCCACGAGTTCAAGCCCCACATCAGGCTCTGTGCTGGCAGCTCAGAGCCTGGAACCTGCTTCAGATCCTGCGTCTCCCTCTCTCCCACTCCCCTGCTCTCATTCTGTCTTTCTCTCTCAAAAATAAACATTAAGAAAAAAGAAAAAAAGGAAAATATGGACCAGGAAGAAATACCTGCTAAGCCTTTACTCCCCGTGTTGGAGCACAGCAGCGTGCACCACGTGGTGGGGGCTGCCCACAAACCCTGTGGAACTGATGGGACCCGGGCCCATGCGAGCACACGCGTGTTGGGGTGTGCGGCACAGGCACGTACCCGGAAGCAGCCACGAGTGGTGTGGCGTGTGCACAGAGGGCTCACCCGCCGGGAGTCACAGAGGCTCCCACCCTGCGCAGCCTGCACCCCAGGCAAAGCCGGCGCCAGCGGGAGCCGCAGCCTCATGGAGGAAGGAGGTGTGGCCAGGAGACCCCTGGCCGAGGGGGACCCTGCTCCCCACAGAAGGAGCCTCAGAGGCTGAGGCCCGGGGCCCAGGCCCTCCTGGGGAGGGGACAGAGAGGGGCTCTGGGCACGGGGACACCCTCAGCAGAGTGCGGAGTGCAGGAGGGTCGTTGAGCTTTGGGAGATCCTGCTCGTCCTTGATGACTTCGTTCTCGTGGGCGTCACCCTCTGCCCGTGGGACAGCAGCCCGTGCGCACGGCCCCTCCCACCAGCCACGCGGTGCCCGTCTCCTTACACTTGGAGACTGGGGAGTACAGCGATCCTGTGGTCCAGCCTTCAGGCTGGGAAACTCCGTAATAAAAATGGGAGCTGTTCTGTCTACGCTGGACCCACGGGGGACCGTGGCCTCGTTTGTCAGCTGTGGGGACCGGGCTGTCACATTCCCCGGCGTGTGTCACGATACCTGGCTCTTAGGGCGCTCAAAGTGTTCTGAATAAATCAGGAATGAGTGAATGCAGGCAGCACTGAAGGCCTGTTCTCCCAGCCCCCGCCCGGGCCCGCCCTCCGTCTGTGACCCCGCCCTGCATCTCAGCCTCACAGATTCCTCCTCCTCGGCCCCTCCTCCTTCGCAGGTTCTGGTCTCCGTTGAACCCATGGCTCCTGCGCCTCCCCAGCCCCGAGCCAGGACCCCAGCGCCGTCGGGCTCTCATCGCTCCCGTCCTCCACATCACTGTCACCCCGTGCTCGTGTGTCACTCCCTCCTTCCTGCGGACCCTGCTGTGCACGGCTGGGTGTCCCCTCACAGGTCCTGTGGGCAGGTGTCCAGGGGACACAGGTGGACGGGGTGGGGAACATCCAGGGGCCACAGGTGGACGGGGTGGGGGCGTCCGGGGGACACAGGTGGACGGGGTGGGGGCATCCAGGGGACACAGGGGGTCGGGGTGGGGGCGTCCGGGGGACACAGGCGGTCGGGCGGGCAGTGGAGGTGGATGAGGGGAGAGGGGTCTGGCGCTCAGAGGCGGGAGGAGACCCCCGTGGCCACAGCTCCCCTGGGAGGGCCTCACAACAGTCGGAGTGGAGTGGAGAGCATGGGAAGGAAATACCTGTTGTTGCAGGCGCCTGTGATGAGCCTGTACTTGTTGGCCAGGCAGGTGTTTGGGCATCTGGGGGGCAGCATGTAAGGCAGGCACCCGGACAGGTTCGCGATCGTGTCCAGCACGTCTTCGGGCAGGACGTCTGAGGAGAAGCGTCAAGGCACAAACGAGCCGTCAGTAACGGCAGGCCTGCCGATGCGGGGCGCCGTGCCGGAGCCCCAGGCCTGTCTCCTACCTCCGTGTTCAGGGTTCACAGAAGCCTCGCCGTCCCCTGGGAGGGGGCTTGCTTCCCTGTCAAGCCGGTCCCTCAACCACCCCGAGAGCCCCCTCCCTAGAAGGAACCTCCTAGAACCTAGTTTTGCTTTGTGACGGTGCAGAAAAGCAAGTCAGAGCTCCAAGCCCCCAGACACAAGCCACCTAGCGGGTCACCTCCCCGACGTGCCCGCCACACCCTGGCGGTGAGAGGGCGTGTGCAGCCGTCGGGGGGGGACAGCCAGGCGCCGTCCCTGACCCTCCCCGAAGCCTGCCCCGGTCAGGTGTGCTGGCAGCGACCATGTGTCCGTCCACAGAACCTTCTCTCTCCGCACTGGTTTCTCCTGAATCTTTCTAGATTAGGACCCCAGAAACCAGTCTCTTATTTATTCACTTTTTCCCCAATTCTGCTACTATTTATTGAACAAGCCAAAGCCAGGACTGCTTTCTTGTGTGTTCGCAGGAGTCATTGGTCACTTCTCCAAGACAGTTTGTACAAATCTTCAAAGTAACACCATAAGCCGACTAACCAGATGCCCACGAAGTGAGATATTCACCAGAGACACAGGGGAAGAGTGCACCCCGCTGCGGGAGAAACAGCCCCAGCTTCTGAGCCACCAGCGGGCCCTGAGCAGTCCCCGCAGCTCAGCGGCCCCCGGCCACGCTTTCTGTTCAGCCGACGGGGAACATGCGCCGCTTACACGTGAGCACAGACGCTTCAGGGCAGGAAGTGCCCGGCGTGCGTGGGAGCAGGCCACGCCTGCCGCTCGGATCCCCCATCGTAGCTGTGCTGCTGGACGGAGCCGGCCCAGGGCGCCTGGGCGTAGCTGTGGACACTGCGTGCTGATGAGGTCCCGGCCGCGTGGCTCGCCTCACTTACTTTACTCCTGTTCTACACTGTCTACACCTGTCCACACTGTTGACAGTGGAAACCACAGGAAGCCCCCTCAATTACGGGGTTCTTCGGTTCTGCATGCTCCCCTGGACCAAACCCCTCTGCCCAGGCTCTCGACGCCCCAGCACCCCTGCGGCTGAGCAGGGCTCTCAGGACGGTACGGGGCCTCCGGCCCTTAGGGCCCTGGCTCAGCCCCACGATTTGAAACAAAACCACGTCAGGGGCGCCTGCGTGGCTTAGTCGGTTAAGCGTCCGACTTTCGCTTAGGTCATGATCTCGCGGTTCGTGGGTTCGAGCCCCGCGTCGGGCTCTGTGCTGACAGCTCAGGGCCTGGAGCCTGTTTCAGTCTGTGACTCCCTCTCTCTCTGACCCTCCCCTGCTCATGCTGTCTCTCTCTCTCTCTCCTAGAAATAAATAAAACATTAAAAAAAAATGAAACAAAACCACGTCAGATGAATCATTGAACCTGGTGAGTATAGCGTCTGAGAATTCTGGTGAGTCCTGACTCAGCCAAGCGTGTCTTGTTGCAAAGGGTAACTAACCACTTCGGGGTAAGTGCCTAAGGCCAGTTCGGAGGAAGGGACCCTGTAGCTCATGGCACCACACCGAAAAAGTCTGGATGTTTGTTTTTAAAAACTCCCGCCTTCTAGTTGCCCACCCCAGGGCTCACAAACGTGTCCGTGGTCATGACGGCCATCTGCGCAGGGCCCTGCACCCAGAGTGCTTTCATCCAACGCAGCTCGAGCCCACGTCTGTTTTGTTCTGCCAACAGCCGCACAAGCTGGCAGCCAGTGCCCAGGTCGTGCCCAGGTCGGGGTCGAGCACACTGGTTCTCGGTGGCCCTGAGCGAGTAACAGGCAATGGCTCGCCGTCTTTGCTGGCCCCTGAGCGCCTAGTAGCTTCCCGAGTTCTGCCCACGTCTGTGGAAACTCCTTCTGGCCACGACGCAGGATGCCCAGGAGGCCGGGCTGCTTTGCCGGGTTCCGTTTGGATGGCAGAGTCACAGTGATGTCCCAGGTGAGCGCAGACACACGTGATGCCTGCCCGAGCGTGCTTGAGAGCCGCCGCGTCGGTCCCGGGAGCAAGCAGGGACCCCGTGTGCGTGCAGCCCGCGCCATCCCGCCCAGCCCTGGGGTCTGTCCCTCCGGGGCCGCGCCTCCGGGTGGGGGGCATCTTGGGGGGCTCACCGGTGGGAAGCTGAGATCGCCTGACCACAGCCTGCACGGAAACTTCCATGATCTCAGCAGCTCGGGAGATGGCGCGGCTGGTGGGCTCGGGGAGCTTGGAGAAAGACAGCAGCCGTGACGGAGAAGGAGGGCTTTCTCGTTCGCCGAGGTCTCTGCGCACAAGAGAGACACGGAGGGGCTTGCTCTTCTGTGGCCGTGTTCATCGGCATCACTGACGGCTCCCGCGGACACCGTGAGCGCCGTGGCGCCCAGCATGTGCGGGCCCCGGGCTGGGCTGATACACGTGCTGGGGCCAGGGCTCCGGGCTGAGCCGGGGGACCGGGCCTGTGCGAGGCTGTGTGACATAAAGCTTCTCACCCACACCCAGAGATGCCTCTGCCGCGTCCCAGGGGGTGAGCGAGCCACCCTGAGCGCGTGCAGCCAGCGAGGTCACGGGGCCAAGAGTCAGCGGCCACAGGGCACAGCGGCCACACAGCCGCGTGTGCTAGGACACAGGGCCCCAGGCAGTGTCCCCGCGGCTGGCGCTCCTGGCCTCTCTCATTCCGGCAGCTCCGGCCACAGGGGGTCAGTCCGGCCACTCTGCCCTCGCATCTGGGGGCCAGGGCCCTGGAGCAAGGGGCCCGAGCTGGCCTCTGTGACGAAGCTGCCCTCGCTGGTGGCGCCGGCAGGTGGCATCACGGGGCCCTAGGTGGAACCAGGAGCTGGCGGGAAAGGCCCTCCAGCTGCCCTGAGATCTTCAGCTCAGATGCTGCGGCCTTGGCAGAAAATAGCCCAATTCTCACTCAGGTGTCCCCCTAGCAGCCACGCAGTGGGCCACCGCTGTGTCCACTTGTGAATAATAAGCACAAGGGTGCGGGGCTCACTGGGTGAAAACAGCGGGGCAGGTGCTGTGCTCAGTACTACTTCCCTCTCGGTAAGTCCTCCTATAAGCTCAGGGGGTAAGTGCTGTGATCATGTGATCACGCCCAGGAGACCAGGGCAGCTGCGTCAGGTCTACAGCCAGCGAGAGACGGGCCCAGTATTGGGACACAAATCACACACGTACGCAACACATACATTAGACGTACCCTAACGTATGTGTGAACGGATCTGATACGTAACTTTAGTATAGAAAGCCATGTTTGAGACCTGCCAGTGTGTTTTTTAACAACATGATGACACCGTGCACTGGAAGGGATTGAGCTTTTTCACCGAAGCTGATGCAACGGCCTGCATAGCTTCACAGACCCCCAGACAGGGGACCCAGCTCCAGATAGGGGACCCCGGCCCCAGAAGGGGCACCCAGACCCCAGACAGGGGACCCCGGCCCCAGACTTGGGAACCCCAGCACAGCAGGGTCAGTGTCAGCCTTTCTGGGCCCCCTGGGACTCTGTGTGGACAGAAGGGCCCCCCAAAGGTGTCCGCAGCCCAGTCCTCAGGGCCTGTGAGCACGCCTGGCCGCCTAGCACAGGGGACTGGGATGCAGGCAGAATCTGCGTTGCTGGGCAGCTGACGGTAGGGGGAGCTGTTTCCCTGGCTCGTCCCACGGGGTCCTTGCAGGGGGAGGAGGAAGTCAGAGCGAGGACGGCAGAGGAGAAGCGGTCAGGGACCCAAGGCCACCGCCCGAAGAGAGAGGCAGGCCCACCAGGGAACACGAGCCAGGAAGGAGCCGGGAAGGTGAGGACGGAGGCCTCCTGGAGTCAGAAGGACCTGGTCCGGCAGGCCCGGGGCTCGGGGGCAGCGAGGGCCGTGCCCGGCTTGCAGCCGCAGGACCGTGTGCCGACACGCAAGCCCCGTGCTGAGCCCTGGGCCTCGGAGACCAGGACCCCGCTGCTCCCAGACGCCCGAGGGGGACGGCGGCCCTGGCGGTGTGGTGGCCTCGCAGCCACACGGGCAGCCTGACCTTCCCCCCGGGAGCCCTGCCTGTTATGTCCCCAGGGAGCAAAACGCCTGTCTGTGCGGGGCGGCGGCCTGTCTTCTGGGGCTTGACGGCTCTGTGGCCTTGGAGAACCGCCCGGAACAAAGGCAGCACCTCTTACTGCCTTTCCGAGCAAGCAGGTGAGCAGAACCTTCCAGGGGCAAACCCCCTGCAGCTCGGCCAGGCCGCAGCCCAGAGCACAGGCCCCCAACAAGGACCAAGGCCCCGGACGCCACCGGCCACGGCCCGCGGTGAGGAGGCCGCGCCCACCGTCTGCTCGCGGGAGGGACCCACGCAGGCCGCTGCACCCCAGCGGAACCTGCACTGGCCACACCCCTGCCAACCCTGGGAGGGGTCCCCCGAACGACTGGGGCGCCTGCATTAAAACCGCCCCCCGTTCGCCACAGCGCCCCCAGCCTGGGGCCCAACAACACCCAGCCCCCCACCAGCCTGGGTCTGTGCCCGCTCGGGACGCCTGCCGGTCTCCCCGGGACAGCGCCCTTCTCACACGCTGCTCTGTGCCCGCGGTGACCTCCTGGCCGCGTCACCCCAGCCCTGCTCCCACGGAAGCCTTCTCGCGTGGAATCCAGGGGCCAGACCGCCGTCACACGGCGCACACTCGTCCTCACCCCTGACAAAGGTGAGGCTCCCTTCCGGGCTGGCCTGGGGGAGCACACCCAGATTCACAGGAGGTGGGCTTCCACTGGGAGAGTGCAGACACGTGCCACACATGTGCGCGTGCGCACACACACACTCGCACGTGACGGGAGCCCAGTGCTCACCAACAGAGCCGAGACAAAGCCCTTGGAGCCTTTTTGTGAGCAGGTTGACAAGACACGTCCTCACGTCCAGACCCGGCTGGGCAGGCTTGGATCAAGGACCGGACACCGGCGCCTGCCCCGCCCCTCCCTGCCCTTGCCCTCGCCCGCTGGGCCCCAGCCTCGTGCAGCCAGGCTCCCGCCCCCCACACAGTCCGGCCCTGGCTGGCGGCAGACCCTCTTCCCACCCCTTCCCACCGAGGGGCATCCCCGGAGATGCGGGGCCACACGCTGCCCGGGCCCCACCGTGTGGCTCCGGTGTGGACTGCAGCCCGTATAACACAGACACCATCCCCCCCGGGGGGGGGGGGGCAGGCACGGGGAGGCCCTGCCCCGGCCGGTGCGGGCGGGAGAACCAGCTTATCCTGGTGACTTTACCAGGCTGCCTCCGTTGCGGGAACAATCACACGGAATTGAGGGTCCAGAACGGAACGGCCAGACATGGAACTGACAGTAAGATTTTATGGGAAAACACCCACCTTGATCCTGAAAAAAAACAAACCCATAGCAACGGCGGGAAGAGAGTGGAGTTTGGAGCCAGAGCCCCACGTCTGGCCTGGGAGCCAGTGGGGACAGAGCTGACCCCCCCCCCCCCAGTGCCACGTGTGGTGTGTCCTGTGGGAAGGCTCCAGATCAAGTGGAGATTGTGTCAGCTGTCACAAAGTGTGGCCCCGAGCTCCGGGCGAGGGGAGGCCCTGAGGGGCATGCAGGTGCGCAGGGAAGGGCGTGAGCTGCTCTAGGGGGTGGGTCTGGGGCCTCACGGAGGGGCAGCTCTGGCTGGGGCCACTGCGTGGTGGGCTCCACCGTGTCCCCAGCGTCCCCGTCATCGGCCCGGAGTGCGGCGGGCTGGTCGTTAGCCAGGACGGCAAAGTCCCACACCCGGCACTGTCTTGACCCTTCGCGGGGACCTTGCTCTGTGTCTTCACACCACTTTCCCCAAATGTGGAGCCACTGCCAGTGAGTGGGCGAAGACCCAGCCTCACCCCAGCTCCAGCTCCGGGTGCTGCTCAGGAGAAACGTCTGTTTTCTTTCTCAGCTACAAAAGAGTTAGATTTGTTTGAGGCATAAAAATATTTTATTAAAACTCTTCCTCAAAGCTGATTATCGTTAATCAACCACAGTATTTTTGTGAAGAGCTGCAGTGCGCGCATCCCTGAATTAAGGGTCTGTCTTCACAGAAGGAGCGTGAACCGGAGATGATATTCATCTTCCTACCCTGAGCGCCAGCACGGGGCCGGCTTCATCAAGTAGGGACGGCACAATCCCTCATGAAATACTGCTTGAGGAGGTAAGTTAACCATTATTAGAGTTCTCAGAGAGCAAAACTTTCCAATAAAATGTCCCAGCGAAGTCCCAGCAGCCCCCCTGCTACGGGGCATCTTTGGGATGACGATGCGGAGCTCAGCGGGGTCTGTTGGCCTCCACCAGTTTCTACGAGGACAGGAGGGTCCGGCCCGGTCTTCCCGCCCCCTGATGGCTGAGTGTCACCCCCAGGGGAGAAGCCTCCTGACCCCCAGGACTGAGAGGACCGTGGCGCTGAGTCCCGGGAAGATCACTGCCTTTCTCCATATGCCGGAGGAAGGATTTGAGACGGAACATGGGTTCTTTCCGGCTCTTGCCGGAAACCAGGAGAGCGAATTAGCGCAGGTGAGCTCTCCTGATCTGCAAAGTGGAGACGCTGGGCCGGTGGTGAAAACTAACCCCGGCACACCTGTGCCCTCTCCTGGGGGCACGGGGGCTCCCCTCCCGCCCCCTCCATCAGCCCACCTTTCCATGGTGTGGTAGATGGCCTCGTCCACCATGCGCCTGCTCTCTTCCACAGCGCGGGTGACAGCGGAGCCTCGGCCCTTCCCTGTGGAACGACACCCCCCCCATGGAGCACATTCGAGGTCAGTGACCCTCTGCCACCTTCAGTTTCTCCACCAAGTCCACGTGAGGCAGCGACAAGCTCACGGCTCCTGCGCCCGATCTGCGGGGTCCTGGCCAGTCCGCCCCGTGGGCCCCCATTCCCACATCACAAATCGGGCACCAGCTCCCCCTTGCAGAGCTGCCGTGGAGCAGAGCTCAGGAGCACGTGGATCTGCACCCCCTCACCTCCTCCGAGGTAGGTCTGGACGCCCTACGATCTCACTTGTGCAGACACCATGGTGATTCCCGAGAACTCGGAGTATTTTGTTACCTAATCAGTGATGTGGTGAGTTCCTAGTATTTTCCTATTTTATTTTATTTTATTTTATTTTTTTTACAAATAGTTTATTGTCAAATTAGTTTCAGTATTTTCCTATTTTAAACTGGGCACTTAACAAAAGATAAAATACTTAAATATACCAGTAGTTTCCAACGACAAGTCTTCCATTTTACTTTATTTCATGCTCGAAATGTTTTAACAAGTCCTATGCTCTAAATGTTCACTCCCTCTCAAAATTCGTATATTGAAGGCTAACCCCCAGCGCGACCGTGTGAGGACGGAGGGGCTTGGGGAGGTGATCAGGTCACAAGGCGGGGCCCCCGAGATGGGGCTGGTCCCTTGTGAGGGACCGCGTAGGGCACTGCTGTCAGCTAACCGCCTCACCAGACACCAAATCTGCTCCTGGATCTGGGACTCGCGCCTCCAGAGCTCTTGTTTATGAGGCACCCGGCTGGCGCTCTTCTGCTACAGCATCCCCAGTGGAGGGAGGGAGTAATTTACGAATCCAGTCCGGGTTAAATGTGAGGTTCCGGATGAGAATATCGTAGGCCGTTTCCTGGCGACGCACATGAGGAGCCTCTGTTACTAGTGCATCCTTGCATAATCAACACTTCATCAAAGGAAACATTTGTAAGAATAAATAAAATATCAGAATGTTTTCAAACATAACACACCTTAGAGGAATGAAGCTATTTTTATTTCTTTAATGTTTATTTATTTATTTTGAGAGAGAGACTGAGCAGGGGAGGGACAGTGAGAGACAATCCCAAGCAGGCCCCCCACTCAACGTGGAGCCTGACGGGGGGCTCAATCTCATGACCTGACAGTCAGGACCTGAGCCCAGATCGAGGGCTGTACGCTTAGCCCACCGAGCCACCAGGTGGCCAGGAAGAAAACTACATTTAGAAAGTGAATGTCTATATTTGGAATGAAGTAGGCACAGCACATCCCGGAAAACAGAGTTGTGAGTCCGCTTGACAGGTGGTCTCTGTCCTCAAACGTAGCTGACGATTTCCCTGCAGGGACGAGTGAGTGCGTCCCCTGGGTTAGCAAGGTCTGCAGCTCTGGAGACTGCGGGCTCCTGAAGGCCCCGGAAGATTCCCACCACCCGCCGCGGGTCCGACAGGGTCTTGCACGTGGCAGACCCCAGCACGGGCCCTTCCACACCCCCCCCACCTCCCCCCGCTCCTCCACTCCGGCCCCGTCTATTCTGGGTGTGTTATATGAAGGCGAAAACTGCATGTGGATCGTCCCTGGGATTCTGGGAGAAGCGTTAGGCTGTGTGCTGGGGGGCCCTCCCCCCCGAGAGGGTGTGGGGAGCACTGTGGGGCAGCCCCGGCCGGGGGCTCAGGCTCTCACTGGAGGATGCAAACAGGGCCTGGCCAGCATCACAGACCCAGAGACTTTGAACATGCCTTCTGCTTTCCAGATCCCAAAACTGAATTCTAGAGAGTTCTGTGGCACATCCAATCTGGAGACGCCAGCCTTCTAAGGACAGTCACGGTTCCCACGGGGTGTACATCCCCCCAGAAAGTTCTCCTCGAGGCACAATCATCTCATGCAGGAGAGCTGGAGTTGGGGGGCAGCCCTTAGGAAGAAGGAGGTCAGCCATTTCCGAAGAACTCTCGGTTAAAGGAACAAGGTCAAACCAGGATGCCGAAGTCTTCCTTCTCATCTCATCTGCTGTTGCTCCCGCAACTTGTTTTTGGAACACGGGCCATAAAGATGATTGTGCGTAGCTCGACTTTGCAGGAATGAAGGAAACGCACCCCGCTCCGTGTGCTGATGGACACGGTGACTTGTGCGAGGAACTGGGTGCAGGCTTGGGAGAAGGGACTTACCCTGCTCCTTAACCCACAGGGCCGTGCATGTATTTTTGACAAAAACGAAATCTCTCTTCACCATCGATAGAGAATGCCGAAATGCCTCAGTTTACTCCTCCCTGGGCTGAGCCTTCCTGGGATCCTACTCTGGGTCCAGACTCAAGGGTCCCCACGGCCTCACTTCTGTCCCTCAAACTGCTACAGGTCACAGACTGACCCTCAGTGTGTCTGTCCAGGATCTACATGTGCCGTGAGTGTTTATCAGCCAGACTCCAGGCCAGTGGGGGAGGGGAGCTTCCACGGAAAGACCTGGGAAGACAGTGAGCATGGACACAGCTGCACCTCAGGTCACTGGGCCTTGCTGGGCCACGACCGGACACTGGTCACGGGCCTCTGGCCCCTCCCGGGCGTGACCAGACACCAAACGCACCGAGGAGAGGCACCCAGCACAGAGTCCCCAGGCAGCTCTACGCCCAGGCTGCCAGTCAGCCAAGGCCCAGTCCTGCGGTAGGAACCCAGACTCGTGCAAGGTAGAGCCGTGTTATCATTTATATTGGCTACTGTGAAATGTGACCGATAAAAATTAGATTTCAAAGAAAGTTAGGAGTGAATAATTATCTTGTTTCAAAGCTGCTGTTAGCTTATTGTCAGCTGAAAAAAATAATCTTTCATACTAAGGAATGTAGAATAGGAGCATTACAAGAGAAATATTTTCTACGTAAGTAATTTGTAATGTAAATAATTAATAAGCCGGCTTCAAACTATTCCAGCCGATAATAAATTAACCCCCAAAGTGCAGCAGTCTGATCAGATGCTGCATTGTGAATTATTTACGTATTTTATATATTTATTCAAAGTTCAAACACAAAGAAAATCAAACTCTCAGGATGAGGAAATGATAATAAGAATTGCTTTAGTGCATCTATAGAAACCACACATCCCGATATTTAAAAACACGATTCTAGGGGCGCCTGGGTGGCTTAGTTGGTTGAGCGTCCGACTTTCGCTTAGGTCATGATCTCGCGGTTTGTGGGTTCGGGCCCCGCGTTGGGCTCTCTGCTGACTGCCAGCTCAGAGCCTGGAGCCTGTTTCAATCTGTGACTCCCTCTCTCTCTGACCCTCCCCTGATCACGCTGTCTCTCTCTCTCTCTCCTAGAAATAAATAAAACATTAAAAAAAATAAATAAATAAAAAATAAAAACACGATTCTAAAACTAAAGATGTGGTGCACATACGTATTTATATTCTGTTGAACGCCTCTGATGCGTAACATTTTGTCTGGTTAGCCACATGACTTGTAACTTTTGTTACCATGGTTTTACGGAGCTAGGGCCTTAATACATATGAAATAAAAGGACAGGTTAATTCATCCTCAAGACATGCGGGCGCTGGGCTGCCTGACTCTCTGAGGGTATCTTGAGGTGACTGAACGTGTGAGTCCATTTTTCCTGGTACTGCCCAGAGATAGTGCATTCAGTACCCCAAGCGCAGCATCGCGGGTGGTAACTGTGATGGATGTTTTCCCCACTTCCTGCCGCCTGGGGCGGGGGGCATGTTTGTAGGGGACAAAGGAGGCTGTGAAGGACTCTGGTGCAGCTTTCGGTATGGTCACCAAGCCCCCTGATCACGGAAAGTGGGAAAATGTCACTCCCAGCAGGACGCGGCGTATGGGCCGGCAGCGGGGAGGTCCTCCCACCCCGGGGGCCCCTGGGTCAGCAGCGAGTCCAGCCAGGCCAGGGGAGCAGGGGCCGCTGGGGAGGTCTGCGCCCCAAGGCTGGCGGCCAGAGAGCACCCGCCAGGTGCCCCTGCAACATTGTGCTGGGGACAATTCCCTTCAAGGAGTTCAGTGCCTTTTCCCCCACTATTTTTTTAGCCAAACAAAAGCAGAATTTGAGCTGTGATCATTTTAACCACCCCGTCTGTTTCTCAGCCAGGTTTTACACTGTGGCATCCTGATTCCAGAAAACACACCATAGGAATTATTTAATGAAAAGTCTTTTTGCAGCAAAGAAGCAAAGTCATGTCTCCCAAAGAAAACTTTTATCAAATATATGAGCAGATAAAACGGAGATCCTCATGGTGAATCAGAGGACAGGATTTACTCCTCAGATATAACTGTATCTTAACCCTCAACCCTCCAGAATCACTGTTCTCTTCTGGGCAAAGTGCACGAACAGAACAGCACGGGGCCCGACTGAGTGTCGAGTCCGATGCTTCCTGTTGACTATGGACGGTAACTTCATCAGGTCAAGAGACTGTGACTCATTTGTTACTCACCCCAGAGGAGGTCCTCACGGGTCCAGATGAAGGTGAAGAAGCCGTGTGTGCAGGCCACCAGCAGCACCACGCCCAGGATGGCGAGCACCCTCATTCTAACGGTAGAATCGATGGAGAACATGCAGACCGTCAGGGCAACAGCCACAAAAGCCGCGTTTTTGGGCAACTTATTCCTGGAGCCTCTGGTGTCTGGCTGTTCACTGACTAGTGTCCACACTGGTGACTGAATCCATAAGCTTGGATCTGAGCCCTGACTGTAACTTGCCTCCCAGACTAACACTGTGGCTCTCCTGGGCCGTGGCTGCCGCCTTATAAACCCTCTTGCGCACTGGTGCTCACTCAAGCATCAGGAGCTGGGGTGGCCCCTGTGGCTTTGGGCTTGTGCCAGGCTCCTGTGCACCATCAGAAACAAGCGTGGCCTCCTCAGGTCCTCGTGAGGCTGAGCCCCTGGACCCGAGCCAGAAGGAAGGAAAAGTGTGTGCATGTTGAGAAAGAAGCCAGATACAATCGCCCCTCATGACGCTGGCATCCTCATCTCCTAGTCTCCCAGGGAAAGACCTTGACCTTCAGAGGCCGCCTGCCTCAGTGCTGGTCCCAGTGGGCCACTGAGGCCCTAGGACTGTGAGCCATTACATCCATCTGGAAGGTGAGCAGGCTCCTGTCCCAGGGTGGGGTGAACAAGGAGCCTCCGTGCAGATGGCAGGCCCCCACCCCGTCCGCGGGGGGTCTATGTGGGCCGCAGGCCCCCCACCCCGTCTGCAGGGGCGTCCGCCCAGACAGGCAGATACGCATGGAGGTAGCTCCCTTCGGAAGCTGAGGGAGGAGGGTGAATCTCAGCACGAGCGCACTCAGCCTAGCGTGTGTCTGCAGACTGTTCTCTCCGGCTAACGGTGACACCATTGCCATGACCTTCGTTCTGGGTGTTTTAATGGAGACTTATGCTGCTTCCCCTGAAGTCTCTCGGGTTCCTACTATGTGGACACGGTCTTCTTTTCCTTTTGTCCTTTCTTCTCTTCTTTAGGACCTACTCAAGCAGGACAGTGGCTTCGAGAACCGAGATCAAATTCTGAAGCCATTAGGCAAAGTGACCTGGAGATCAATGCATCAGGAGTTTGCAGAGCGAGAATGTCGAGATCAACACGACCGAGACCCCGACAGGCCAGGACGATCAGAGTCCTGGTAGAGGAAGGACGGGGTGGGGAGGCTTTACAAGGAGAGGCCTGGGCTTGCTGGGCGGAGCAGGGAGGCCGGCCGGCTCAGCCTGCTTCAGGGACGTCCCGTTGCCGACTCTGGGAGGCCAGGGGAGGGGGAATCCGGCACAAGCCGCAGAGGACTGGTGCGGGTTTGAACGCTGAATTCGGGGTATGGGACGCACTCACGGGCGATGAGCTCGTAGGGTTTGCAAATACGCCCTTGGTGCCTGGGCTGGGGTGAAGGGCGCGGCTGGGGGTGGCTCCCGCAGATTCGCAGCTGGATGTAGTGACTGGGGCCGTCCCGTGAGAGGACACGGATTGGAAAGACGGGGCTCTCACGGTGGAAGGCTCTGGCACCAGGGCCCCCCGGCCGTGGGCTTCGATGTCCCCAGCAACGTCACACCAGAATCCTGGAACCTGGGACTGAGTGCACGACCTGGAGATGGCGAGGAGCAATCCCAGGATCCTCGCGGGACAGGAAACCCGAGGGGACAGAGCTCATGGTGGTGGCAGCAGAGGCTGGAGTGATGTGACCACAAGCCAAGGAATGCAGGTGCCCAGGAGCTGGAAAGGGCCTGGGTGGGGCGGGGCGGGGGCCCCGAACGGGTTGGGGGGGTCGGGCAGGGGCCCTGAACGGGTTTGGGGGGCAGTGCGTGTGAGTAGTCAGTGACCGCGGTTCATGGGCCTTCTCAGCCCCGAATGTGCCCTTCTGGCCACCAGGGGGCCCCCCTCACCTGGGACATGCATTTCCTGCTTCTGGGGGGCAGACAGGGCCCGCGTGTCAGGTCTTCACTAGCTTCTAGGTAGAACAACATGCCTGAGTGGCGTGGCTTGGGGCGGCCTGCCCTTGGCCTCCATGGCTCCTGCGGGAACGAAAGAGCGATTGCTTCCTGTCCAGCTCGCGGGTTTGTACTTCAGAGGAAGTGAAAAATTCAGCCAGAATGAAAACCCACCAGAGTCCCCCTTGTGAAGGACCAGTTCTTGCAGTCAGTGTATTTAGTCCGAAGTGATGTCACTGAGAGCGTCCAAAAATAACAGCAGTGAAGAGGCGGACACCGGGCTTGTTTCCTTGCACCTGCTCCTGTGATAGCGGCCCCGTCCGCGGTGCTAGGGGCGTGGGCGCCGGGCCTTGTTCTCGGGGGAGGAAGTACTTTGTGATGAGATCCAGGCAGAGCAGAGGGGGCTCATGGCTGGTAGCTGTGGGGGTGGGCTCCGGGCTAGGGCTGTGCCCTCAGGGCACACGAGGTCCTGGATTCGGTGGCTGGCCCCCGGGGGCTGAGGGGTGGGCTCTCCCCCGATTTGGCCAACTCTGCAAATGCCCCCTGTCTTATCAAAAAGAAACGGAAGTGTCTTTCTCCAAAGCTGCGAGGACATAGCAAGGTCGTGTTCCTCCCATAGGAAGGGAGAGGAGACGTGTACATAGATCACTATACACAAAGCAGAAGCGATGAATGCCGGGGGCGCAGGGACAGCCCTGAGCTCAGGCCCGCATGCCGTCCTACGCAGGTGACTCTGGCCTCCGGTGCAGGGCACAGGGGCACGCGGGGCAGGAGGCTGCTGGACGGGGGCTGTGGACGGGAGGGATTCTGTGACGCCTTCGCCCTGTCAGTGTCATCACGGGCGCCGTCGCCCACGTGGGGAGGTGGGACTGAGGCCTGCGGGCCCACGGGGACGAGGGTCTGTGAAGCCACCCCTGGCCTCGGGGTCTGTGCTCGTCTGCTGCCAGGAAGGACGCCCGGGGGGCACGGTGAGGGCTCGAATGGAGAGGGGGGTGCGCAGTGCTGCGGGACTGCAGGTCACAGCTGGGGAGACGCGCAGGACAGAGGCCACGCAGGTGGAGGCCCTGTGGCTGGAAGAACCACCCTGGACCCTGGCGGGAGGTGACACTGGCTGGGGCTGGGGCGCGACGGAGCCGGCGAGAGAGCAAAGGCTGGAGTCTGCACCACCCGCCTGGTTCCCTGGCTCTACGGTTTGGCATCTGCCTCCCCCAGGAGGCCAGGTCCCCTCGTCACCTCTCGACAGGGTGTCCTTGTGGCCTGGACCCAGCCCCTCCTCTTCCCGTGTCCCCTTCCAGTGGTGTCCACACGCAGAGAGGACACAGCCTGTGAGGTCAGAGAGCAACTGTGGTCCTGGCCCCACCTCTCTGGCTGTGGTTCTCCAAGGTCACTGCAGAGACTCCGAGATTATGCATTTTTAAATGTAGCCGCTGTCTTGTGCATTTGGCACACACATGCACACATCACGCACACACACCCGGATGCACACACAATGCTCATGCCCACACACACACCCGCACACATGCATGCTCTCACACACATGCTTGCTCACGCCCGCACACCCGCACGCTCACGCACACCCACACCCACATGCTCATGCCCACACACGCTCACACCCACACACACCTGCACATACGCATACACACCTGCACACACGCTTGCTCACGCCCCCACACACCTGCATACACACACTTGCTCATGCCCACACACACCTGCACACAGGCATGCTCATGTCTCCACACCTGCACACACACACTCATGCCCCCACACTACCTGCACACACACGCTTGCTCATGCCCCCACACACCTGCACACACACGCTTGCTCATGCCCCCACACACCTGCTCACACACGCTTGCTCATGCCCACACACGCATGCTCATGCACACACACCTGCACACATGCTTGCTCATGCCCACACACACCTGCACACACATGCTCACGCACACCCACATGTAGGCACACACCTGCAGACACAATATGTGTGCTCATACACACCTGTACACACACATGCATGCACCTGCACACATAAAAACATGTAGCCAATAGCACACATACACACCTGCTTACTCATATACACATACCTGCATGCACACACACACACACACAAACACAGGCACACAATCCTGAATGCTCACATACACCCTGTTCACATACACAGGCATGCACACACACACCTGCATGCTCACAGACACCTGTATATGCACACACACACACATGCCCACACAGGCACGCTCATGCACACATGCACACACACCTGCATGGACACACACCCGCACGTACACCTGCACGCACACAGGCATGAACACACACCTGCACACTCACACACACAGGGGCATGCAGTGTTCTATCTGGCATGACACACGTGTGCCAGCGAGGACTCTGCAGACGTCCTTTCTCAGCATCTCCTTGCTCCTCCCGAGCTCCTTGCATCTCGTGCCGCACCCTTGACCTTCCTGACCTGGGCGTGGCCGCCACGGCACCTGTTGGCACCTGCCCGGCTGAAGCCACACTCCTCGTGCCCAGCAGGACGACGGGAGCAGCAGAGGCGCAAGCACTTCTGAGATCTGTAACACGGTCCGTCCCGCGGCCTCGCAGAGACGGCTGCGGCTTTTGTCATCAGAGAATCATGTCCTGAGAAAACTCACCCACGAGTTACGGACTTGTGCGGGGGGACGATTTGTGCTTTGGGGGCCGACAAACTACTCAGCGGAGGGGCTTTGGTTAGCGCTTTGGAGAGTGCGTGGCCGCTAATTTTCAAAGAATCGGGGCAGCGGACACGTCCTGGCTCCAGCCCTGCAGCCCTCCTGGCTGCCCGGCCACAGCTCTGCTGGCGGTGAGATGCTCCCTCCGCGGGGCCCAGGGGAGCCACCAGGCTTCACCTTGACTCTAGGTTCAAAGGAACCCATCCACTTCATTGCTGCGAACTGTGTGCCACTCTCGGCTCTTACTTGCCCTTAGTCGTGTTGTGTTTGCTCTTTTATTTATAAACGTGTAAGTTAGTGTTGTGTTTTAAAGAAAGGACTGGCCCTGAGGACACGGCACTCGGTGAGGGTGTCACCGCAGCCCAGCGCGGGGCCCGGTCCTGGGGCCCAGTGAGGACGCGGAGGGAGGCGGGAAGCAGA